GCAAAAGTAGACAGATGGGATTACAGCAAACAAACAAACAAAAATTCTGCACAGCAAAGGAAACAATCAACAGAGTGAAGAGAAAAGCTACAGAATGGGAGAAAATATTTGTAAATGATATATCTGATTAGGAGTTATTACACAAAATATATAAGAAACTCAAATCAATAGTAAGGAAACAAATAACCAGATTAAAAAATGGGAAAAGTATCTGAATAGGCATTTTTTAAAAGACATGCAAATGGCCAACAGGTATATGAAAAAAGTGCTGAAAATCCCTGATCGTCAGAGAGATACAAATTAACATCACAATGAGAAAACACCTCAAACTTGGAAGAATGGCATAATCAAAAAGGTGGAAGATAACAAATGTTGGAGAGGATGCACCGAAAAGGGAACCAGGATACACTGTGGGTGGAAATGTAAATTAGTACAGCTATTATTGACAACAGTATAAAGGATCTTCAAAATATTAAAAGTAAATTACCATATGCTCAGCGATCCCACTACTAGGTATGTATCAAAAGGAAATTAAATCAGGATGTTGAAGAGATATCTGCACTCCCATGGTCACTGCAGCTTTGTTTACAATAGCCAAGATATGGAATCAACCTAAATGTCCATCGATGGATGAATGGATAGAGAAAATGTGGTAAATATACACAATGGAACACTATTGAGCCTTAACAAAGTGGGAAATCCTGTCACATACTTCAATATGAATGAACTTGGAGGACATGATGTTAAGTAAAACAAGCCAGACACGGAAAGACAAATGCTGCATGATCTCACTTGTACGTGGAATCTAAAAAAGTCGAACTCATAGGAAGTAGAGAGTAGAATGGTGGTTACCAGAGGGTGATTGGTGGGTGGTGGGTGGGGAGATGTTGGTCAAAGGATACAAAATTTCGGTTTAGATAGAAGAAATAAATTCAAAAGATCTATTGTACAACATGGTGACTATAGTTAATAACAGTGTATTGTATTCTTGAAAATTGCTGAGAGTAGATTTCAAGTGTTCACACTATAAAAAAAAAGTGAGATAACACCTATATTAATCAACTTAATTTAGCCATTCCACAATCTATGTGTATTTCAAAACAACATTTTTACACAATAAATATATATAATTTTTCTTCATCAATTTAAATAAATAAATAAATAAATGAATGAATAAATCGATAATAAGAAACTTGACCCTATAGGCTAGGATTTATTTTTGGGCTCTCTATCATATTCCACTTATCTATATGTCTGTCTTATGCCATATCACATTGTTATGATTACTGTAGCTTTGTAATAAATTTTAAAATCAGGTGTGATTAAAAGTTGGTGTGAGACCAACTTTGTTTTTTTTCAGGATTGTTTTGGCCATTGGGACTCCTCTGATTCCATACGAACTTTAGGATAAATGTTTTTATTTCTGTAAAAAAATGCCATAGGGATTTGGACAAGAATTGCATTAGATTCTTTGGGTAGTATTAGCCTCTTAACAATATTAAGTCTTCCAATCCAATGAATCTGGAAGGTCATTCCATTTATTTTCATCTTTTTAAGTTTCTTTCAGCAACATTTTCTAGTTTCTAGTTTCTTTCCCATTCTTGGTTATGTTTATTCCTAAGTATTTCATTCTTTTTGATGCTATTATAAATGTAATTGTTTTTAAAATTTTCTTTTCAGATGGTTCATTGTTAGTGTATATAAATGAAACTGATTTTTGTGTGTTGATTTTGTATCTGCAACTTTGCTGAGTTTCTTTATTAGTTCTAACAATTTTTTTTGTGTGGAATCTTTAGGGTTCCCTACATATTAGATTGTATTATCTATGAACAAAAATAATTAAAGTTTTTCTTTCCAATTTGGGTGGCTTTGGGTATTTTTGCCTGATTGCTCTGGCTAGGATTTCCAGTTCTATGATAAATAGAATGGATAAAAGTGGACATATTTGTCTTGTTCTTAATCTTAGAGAAAAAGCTTTTAGACTTTCACTGTTGATTATAATGTTAGCTTGAGCTTTTCATAAATGGCTTTTATTATGTTGAGGTAGTTTCCTTCTATTCCCAGTTTGTTGAGTGATTTTCTTTTTCTTTATCATGAAATGGTTTTGATTTCTATAAAATACATCTTATGCGTGAATTGAGATGACCATGTGTTTCTTTTTCCTTCATTCTCTTAATATAGTGTGTTATGTTGATTGATTTTTATATGTTAAACCATCCTTGCATTCCAGTATAAAAATACTACTTGGTCATGGTGTTGAATCCTTTTAATGTGCTGATGAATTCTGTTTGCTAGTGTTTTTTTGAGGATTTCTAAAAAATATTTATCAGGGATATTGTTCTCTAGTCTTCTTCAATCATCCCCCTATTGATAAAAACCTCAATTACTTTTAGTCTGTCCTTTTGAATTTAAAAACAACCATGAAATTTTAAGCTGAAAGGGAATTTAAATGGGCTCAGCTTTAGGTAGTTAGGGATGGTCACATGATGTAGGGGACCAAGCTTTTAACTAAGAATTAAATTAAGTTAATTAAACTAAATAAGCGTCTCAAACTGGTCCTACCACAAAGTGACTGTGCAACCACAGAAAAGTCACTTAATTCCTCAGAATATTTTTTTTATTCATCTGTAAAACGAGATAATCTCTCAGACACCTTCCAGGGCTAAAGTTGTATCATTGCTCTACTAGATAGTTCATTCCTTAAGGATATAATCTGACCATGTATGATTCACCTTGGCATCCTAGATAGTGCCTTCT